GCCCCGAGGAAGACCCAGGACACGCTGGAGGGACTATGTCTCTCGGCTGGCCTGGGAACACCTTGGAGTTCCTCCGGAGGAGCTGGAAGAAGTGGCTGGGGAGAGGGAGGTCTGGGCCTCCCTTCTGAAGCTGCTGCACCCGCGACCCGACTTCGGGTAGGTGGAAGAAAATGGATGGATGGATGGATGGATGGATGGATGGATGGATGGATGGATGGATGGACATGTTTCCATCTCCCGTTTTGCCCATAAACTACTTTGCGAATCATCCAAAAACCACCTCAAGTGAGCGAAAAAACTTTTTAGCGAATTGAGGATTTTTTTTTTTTTCGAATTTTGCTGTTTACATCCGACTTTTTTTCACATTTTTAATGCGACACTTCTAAATGTGCATCAAAAAGCCTTGATGGAAACACGGTTACTGTAGCCACAGCTGCCCTGGGACACACTGACACACTGACATCTTGTATTTCTCCTCAGGAGGAAGACGAGGACAGCTGCGGCAGTGAGATAAAAACTCTACGGGCTCACAGCGGTCCCGTGTATCGGACCACCTTCCTGACGGACAGCTCCGGGCTGCTGTCCTGCTCTGAGGACACAACGGTCCGGTACTGGGACCTGAGCAGCTTCACCAACACGGCACTGTATCAAGGCCACGCCTACCCAGTGTGGGACGTGGACGTCAGCCCCTGCAGTCTGTACTTTGCCAGCGGCTCCCAGGACCGCACTGCTCGCCTGTGGACCTTCTCACGCACCTACCCTCTGCGCCTTTATGCAGGGCACCTCTCTGACGTGGACTGCATCAAATTCCACCCCAACTCCAACTACCTGGCAACGGGTTCCACAGACAAGACTGTGCGTCTGTGGAGCACCCAGCAGGGGGCGTCTGTTCGCCTCTTCACCGGCCACCGCGGCCCTGTGCTGGCGCTCTCCTTCTCCCCCAACGGGAAGTACCTGGCTTCTGCCGGAGAGGACCAGCGAGTCAAGCTGTGGGACCTGGCAGCAGGGACACTGTTCAAAGACCTGAGGGGACACACGGACAGCATCACCAGCCTGTCCTTCAGTCCGGACAGCAGCCTGGTGGCGTCTTCCTCCATGGACAGCTCGGTGCGGGTGTGGGACATCCGCAGCTCCCACGGCGGGACGCCTTCTGACGGCTCGTCCAGCGAGTTGGTGGGACTGTACGCCGGAAACACCAGCAACGTCCATAACGTCCAGTTCATGGCCTGCAACCTGCTGCTGGTGACGGGCTCGGCTCAGGAGAAGACCGAAGTGTAGCCTCAGCGCTCAGAGTTCATCACATGTTCCAGAGGCGCAGCTTCCCGCTTAGTTTATGGCATAGGAAAAAGGTTTTTTTTTTTTATAAATAATACTGTTTCTCTTTTGAAACGGACATTTTCATTTATACATAACGTTATTTGTTTTTCAATAAAGATGTACCCAGTTTGTTTTTACTGGATGATAATGTAAAAGACTGAGTTTATCTAAAGCTTACAGAGCAACACAATCCACTAGGGGTGTAAGAAAATATCAATACACTGAAATATTGCGATATTTCATTTCTCGATACTGTATCGATATTCTAAAGCCCTGTATTGTTTTTTTATTAAGGTTTAAAATGTCAACTTTCCTGCCAGCCGTTCATTTTTGTGTTGTAGTTCAGCCTCAGACCACTAGTTGGCAGCAGTGAGCCAGACATTTGGCTTCTCTACCTCGAGCGCCAGAGAGTAAGGGTAGCATTAGCATTGTAAGTGAACATTAGCTTCATACTCCGATAGCTGAATCTGAGCAGAAAAGTCTGACACCCTCTGCCTTCTAAGCTGAGGTAAGGTTACCAACAGTTACTTGTTTGTCAGAATGTCTGTATTTTGAGACAAATTACGTGTCTTGTGCGCTCTTTTTTCCAACTGTAGTCAGCTTTTACGTTACAGAAGGCTAGCGCATGCGTCTAGCCTATCGCCTCGAGCTCGGCACTCCCCCCGTGACATAAAACTCTGTCTGTTGCTCCCAATGTCCGGCTGATCTCATCAAAGTCCGTATACTTTAAGTTTATCCTGCTGTGTTTGCTTCAAAAACAGTTTAACTGTGTTGTTTAGC